GGGGAGAGGGAGAGGGAGAGGGAGAGGGAGAGGGAGAGAGAGGCTGAACCGTATTAAAGACATTCAGAAAAAAGCATGCTTACACAAGATAATCATTCAAAGTCTATTTGTCGAAGCAGTTATCCGACGACAGGCAGTAAACAAGGAACAATTTTTGCAAAGGATCAAACTTGTGCCTACCCGAGCACCATAGTTTTTTTTTTCGCTTCCGCTTGACTGCTCTGTTTGTCCACAGGTGGGCCTGAGAGAGAGAGAGAGAGAGAGAGAGAGAGAGAGAGTGGGCAGGGCGGTCTGTGTGACTGTGTGATGCAATAGACAGAAAGTGTAGAAGTTTCTACTAGAAACCTTCCTGTCTCAAAGCGGCCGCAAATACCCACACCGGCTCTTTTGCAGGATCAAACAAGTTTAATGATTTGTCATTGGGGGGGGGCTTCGGCTCAACTCACGACAATTTTTGGTCTCCCAGAATGATGCAACTCAATGCAACTGCCAGTGAGCAGAATCAATATGAACATCCGTCTGACTTGATGCAAACGGACGTCTTTCGTCGTTTTTGTTAGCCTAATATGTGTGTGTGTGTGTGTGTGTGTGTGTGTGTGTGTGTGTGTGTGTGTGTGTTTTATTGCGGTCGACGCAATCGTTTCTATTTATTTTCAAAAATATTTTTATTTACCCAAAGGTGTTTATTCAACTATATCCCCGTATAGGCACTGTTCATTTGCTGCAAACTATTTGCTGAGAACTATGTGTGCCCGAAAATGCAACCTTTCTAGTACTACTGCTACTCCTTGGCTCCTAATTCTTACTTCTTACTGCTGTCTTTCAGTCACACCCCTGATCTCATGGTAGGAAAGATCTAGACTAGATATCAACTCCTCACCTTCTCGGGCAAGGGCGAAAAATCTCGGAGGGACCGTGTGCAAGTTGCGCACGTTAAAGATCTCTTGGCGGTCTGAAATCGATAAGAGGAGTAGGCTTCGGCCGCCACCAGGGCAAAATTCAAAATAACCTACCAACTGAATATAATGTTTAATGTGTCCTGGGACTTATTTGACCTTATGCAGTTGCAAGCACCGTAAAATACTTACACCCCCCAAAAAACAACAAAAACAAAGAGAGAGAAAGAGACAGACAGACAGACAGACAGACAGACAGACAGACAGACAGAGAGAGAGAGAGAGAGAGAGAGAGAGAGAGAGAGAGAGAGACAGACAGACAGACAGACACAGAGTGCGAGAGAGAGAGAGAGAGAGAGAGAGAGAGAGAGAGAGAGAGAGAGAGAGAGAGAGAGAGAGAGAGAGAGGGGGGGGGGGGGGGGGGGGGGGGGGGGGGGGATTCTATGGTTGCAATAGTCTCCACGCTTATTGTTTTCCTTGAACTTCTCTGCCCCACATGGTATTAGCCTAGTGGGCTTTATGCCCTTCTGACCTTTCAGTTATTCATATAAAGTTGTATATTATAATATGAACATATGCGCTTGATTCCCAGGAAAAGTCACTCCCTTCCTAGTATGGTCTTGCATCTGACGGTATTCATAACCACCTTCGTTTACAGTTGGGATATATTAGGAATAAAATGATTACATCGGCTCTGTCTTGATACGCATGTTTTCCTTTCCATTCGACGAGACACAACAGATGGGCATGTGATAAAGATGAAGTGCGACAATCTATAAATTATATTCTGTGTGATGCACAGTCCTGACCTGATTACTAAATTATTATTCATTATGATCGTGTGCGTCGAGGCATTTCATATGAACTCATATATTTCACAATAGGTTCTTGAATAGGATTAGTCAGAATTGTCTAATGTTATGTTTATGTTGAATGTTATGTTCAGAGTATAATTTGTTGCAAATTCTAGTCAGATATCACAATTAGGTAGTGCATGAGAGTGATTTAAGCAAAGTTGTGGGTGGAATTGCCCCGGTTCACCCTACATTTTTTGTAGGCCTACTTGATGTCAGTTTAACGACTGCAGATCTAGATATTTTTCGTTTTACAAAAAAAATTGAACTAATGAAAGCATGATGATGATGATGATGATGATGGTGATGATGATGATGATGATGATGTGTGTGTGTGTGTGTGTGTGTGTGTGTGTGTGTGTGTGTGTGTGTGTGTGTGTGTGTGTGTGTGTGTGTGTGTGTGTGTTTAAATGAGGATTTGTGTGCGAGCATACTATTATTATGTGTGCGTGTTTTATGTTATATGTGTGTACATGCATGTGTGTACGTGGGAAATAGAAATATAAAGAGACAGAGACTGAGATAGCTAAATGGATGGCAGTGGCGTCGCGTGGGTTGCAGACAAGGTGGTGCATAATTGGAAAGTGAGCAAATGGGCGATAGGCTTAGATCTAGTAGCTACTATTCAGATTTCTAGAGAAAGTCAATTAGAATCTGCAAGATATCCCGTAATCTACATCTATCGATATTTACAACTGTTTCAGGATGAAATCGCATAAAAACTGCAATAAAGTGAAACAATACTAACAACTCACTATGCTCACAATCTGAGAAGATTAAAAGATTTCTAATTACTTCGTGCAGCACCAGGACTTGCTACACAATAGAGTGAGACAACAGTTTCGATACCCATTCTTCATTGAGTTACCGTAGACTATACTAGTGTACGCCTAGTAGATATAGGCTCGCGGAAACTGGGATAAAAATTCTAGCTTGCACCAAATTGGTGCTGAGAAGAGCAGTTTCGTGCACCTTTCTCCTTGTGCGGGAAGAACGATATGCCTCAATTTCTCTACAGTGACAAAAATAACTTTGGTGCAAAGATTTTGCTTGCTCCCAGCAGACACTACCGCAAGTGGTGCGACAAGAATAAACCATCCTCGTCGCTCGCCGTCTGTCTCTTC